AGCTATAGTACACTAATCCAGCATTCTTTGTTAGATCTGGGGCAGTGCAGGGTGACTCATCAAAATCCTCAATAAGATTTGATTTTGAAGCCTTTATAGCGTATATACGCCTTAACTAAACTTTTTTAAATAGATTAGGTGATAAAAGAGCCCTTCAATAAAGTAAATAATTTTTGTGTTTTGTGCTTGCTTAAAAGTTTCACCATAAAGCTAAAGAAAAGTCAAAGACATTTTCAATCGAAATAGATATATCCTAATATTTTCAAATTCGAATGCATGAAAAGGCAAGCATTCCCAGCAATCAATAAACAAATCCTGCGGAGACATTCTTTTGACTGATTTTTTCCTTCTCCGAAATTCCTTGCTGTGCCGCGAACCTTTTCGGAGAGAAAGAAAGAGAATAGCCAACTGAGGGCTACATTGTTAATTTTATAATGTTATAAGCTTGTATTTTGCGGCATTTTTGAGTATTTTTGCCACAAACCTTCTAACAGACAAGGCTTGAGCTTTTAGGTTTTTGGTTTCTTCACCCTTGTACTAATAATCGAATGTAGAAATTTGACGATAACATTAATGAACCCTGATCTTTATTATATTGTTTGTACGCTTTTCTTTCTCCTCCTCGTCATTAAAGATAAGAAATTGTACTCCTGCTACAAGCAATACCACTATTTGTCCCGATGTCATTTTGATAGAACCCGTGGGAAGAGGCGGAGCATAGACGAAGGCGTTCCAACCGGACTGGGGGAGGTACGTGCTGCGTCATGTGGTACACGACGCAAATCGTTGTCGAGTCACGCCTCCTCAAATCGGGGCCCACCCACAACAAGAGCCCGTATCGCTTCACATAACGCATCGACAATGGCAGACCAGGCGGCCGACACTACTCCCGTAGCTCCTAAAGTTCCAGCACCATCAGCTGAAACATTAGCTGATGCCGCTGCTGCTGCTCCTATTGCTGAACCTGCTCCTGCCGATGCTGTTCCATCGAAAGTTCCCAATGCTGAATCGACTGAAGCTGCTCAAGCTGCTCAGGCAGCTGAAAATGCCCCTGAAGTTGCACCTGCTAAAGCAGAAGCTTCAGCTCCTGAACCCGTTCCCGCTCCCGCACCCGCTGCCGAGTCTGCCCCTGCTAATGAATCTACCCCTGCCAAAGATTCTGAAGCTGCTCCAGCAGCTCAATCTGCTCCTGCTCCCGCC